GAGGGCGCGGACGGACCAGGCCCATCCGCGGCTCCCTACGCTGAAGAAGTCGGCCGGCGTGCGGCCACCGTCGGTGAAGCAGGCCAACAACAACACCCAGAGAATCCCAGCGTTCCCGAGGCGACCCCCCTTCTGCCCAACTCCCCAGCCCCCGGATCCCAAGGCTTGGGAGCCATGAAGGCCCTGAGCGCTCTGCTCAGCTGCAGCAAGTATGCAGAGCTGCTGCCCATTCCAAAGATTTCTCCAGAGCTTGCTCCCTCTGGCCATAATGCAGATTTGAGCTCTGCTGGAGTGCCCCCTGGTGTCTCGTCTCCCGTGTGTCCGGAGGAGGTGGAGATGAGGGCTGCTCTACAGTTCCTGATGAGGCACATGGTGAAGCGTGCTGTCATGAGGTCTCCCATCAAACGAGCTTTGGGCCTGGCCGATCTGGAGCGTGCTCAAGCCATGGTCTCCACACCCCAAACCCCGAGCACTCTGCCCAACCGAGTGCTGAGGCCAAGGCTTCAACGCAATTAGAGTCTTGCCGCTCCAAGACCAAACATCGCCATGACCACTAACGCTCCACACACGCTCATAGGGAGCGGTGCCACTGACTGCGAGACGGCACTGCTCGTGAGTATTCCCGCGGAAAAGACTACCGAACGTAGCCCGGCTAAGACCGGCATGGGCCCTTGGACTGTTATGCTGGCCACACTGACACTACTTTCCGTGCTGACCGTGTTTATTATGTTAATATTGTCTTCTCTTATCGCTGTCCGGATCCATTGTGTTATTATAATGTGCTCTTTCTTTTATTGACAAGCATGTTTCTTTTCTTGTCCACTTTGGACAGCAATAATTTAAGTGTTTCAAGCTTGAAGGTGGTGTGATTACGATGCCTCTGGTATTTAACTGATTAATGCAAAAATGGTTTTGAATTATCAAAAGAGGGGAGTGTGGTGACAGTTTTTGGAGTAATTACATAAAACCAGCCGCAGCAAATACACGGACGTCAAAGGCCTTTTATCAATGCAGAGACGCCCTTCTGACGCCATGCTGAGCTTTGTGAGGGCCCCCTGCTGTCTGTCACACCCTTGTGTCTTTCGTATCTTGAATCGGTATGCCTGCTCCTATCCATATGTCCCTGCTGCCAGGAAGGAGCCGGGCCCCCCCGACACCTACAGACAATGGCTATCACTCTTGCCCCCTTTCACCTCTTGCATATGTATCGGTCTGTATGTGTGCACTCTCTACATCCTGCAGTCTGTTTGCATCCCTATGCGCCTCCTGCACCGGTGGCCCCCCTCCCATCTGTTGTGGGCGGGACTGGCTTTCGTGTGTGTCTTGTATACAGGAAGCTCGGGGCTCTGGCCCCCAGAGCTGGGACATGCTGCCTTTGAGTGGATGTGCTGGCCCTCCGCACGTGCGTTAACAATAAACTTACGCTTTTGATCAGACAAAGGACCTTTGAGTTTCCTCCTTCATTGGGTAGAAACTTCCTTAACACCCTCTGAAGAGCTTCTCTTCCAACAGGGGGTCTTCAAACTGCGAGAGACAGAGAAGCTCCAGGCCAGGCAGGCATTTAAAGCTACTGTCGCACCAGTGCCGCTCCAGGAGCCCATCCCAGAGGAACCCATCCTAGAGGAGCCGATCTCAGAGGAGCCAATCTCAGAGGGGCCAATCCCAAAGGAGCCAATCCCAGAGGAGCCAATCCGAGAGGAGCCAATCCCAGAGGAGCAAATCCCAGAGGAGCAAATCCCAGAGGTGTCAATCCCAGATGAGCCGATCACAGATGAGCCAATCACAGAGGAGCCAATCACAGAGGAGCCACTCCTACAGGAGCCAATTCCAGAGGAGCCAATCCCAGAGGAGCCAATCCTACAGGAGCCTATCTCTGAGGAGCCTGTCTCTCAGGAGCCAGTTGAGCCAATCCTAGAGGAGCCTGTCCCCGAGGATCTTGTCCCTGAGGGTCTTATCCCTGAGGGTCTTGTCCCACCAGAAACACGAGTTGTCAGCTCCGATGCCGCTCACGACATGGTCTCGACGTTGATCTGAAAGCTTTTGGACAAATCCCCTGTGTCCCTGGGTATTATGGAACAAGAAAAAGTTATTTTGCGACTGCGTGAGGTGGAGCGAAGAGTCTCCATGCCCCAGGGAACAGACCTGAAGACCAAACATCTCAAAGCTGTGGCTAAAGAGGCGGCGAGAAGTCTCCAGGAAGAGCTGCCCATCTCCTCAGCCCTGCTCTAGAGTGAGTATTTTCTCGAGGTAGCGGTGAGACATCTGAACGTCCAGCTGGAAGACTTCAGTCACGAACAAAAAGGCCGACGAGCAGGATGTTTCGTCTCCCGAGCGTTTAAGATGTTCAGGACCAGGAGGAGCAGAGTGTCACATGGTCCTCTGAGAGCATACCTCAGATCAGCATCCTGAAAGCACATCACTCCTGCCTGAGGTCACCGTCACTTACTGTAGGAGGAGGAGCATGAAAAAACAAAAACAAAAAGTTGAATTTATAAAATTCAACAAAAACAAAGGGGAAAAAAGGGCTTAATTAATTACAAAAAACATAATTAAGACAAAAAACAAAGCATGAAAAAAACGCACATGGCATAAATGTCATATTTAAATGTAAACATCTTAAGCAGTCTTGAGCTTTGAAGAACTGGAAAAAAAATTGGATTGGGGCATCTTATTGACTTAAAAATATATTCACAATAAAATTGGGAAAAACAAATGTATGTAACTAATGTATTCCAATGTGGTTGTTTTACTGCAAATGGCAAATAAACTGAATCTGAATCTGAGAATAATAATAATTGGAATTATATAAATAAAATAAAAATGTGTGGTCTGTTAATTATATAGGTGAGCTCCATTAAACACACTTGGTAAAGTTCTCTGGAGGAGCCATGCAAACTGAAAACTCCATTGACAAAAAACAACCCACAATCTACCCACAAAAGTCTCTAAAATCAAATACATTTCATAAATGCACATTTTATCACCAATAAAAAATCTCTCCTGGCGCCCCTGGGAATACCCTCTGGTGTTCTGTATCAATGTGTTTATAGTGCCTTGGTTCAATCAGTCATATTCTGTGCCCCACTGTGGCACTGGGTATTCTCAGAGGTCTCTCCCATCTCAGTACTAACCAGGCTCTGTCCTGCTTAGCTTGTGGGTATGAGTATTACAAAAAAATCAATCTACTATCTCTGAAGGTTGTACAATCAGACTACATGTTTTTCCAGTGTCTACCTGCAAACAGAGCTCACTGCTACTGCAGGGGTTGAGGGAGACCAAATACAGTGATTTCACCACAGAAAATGGCAACCCTAATGAGAGGCATTCTGCTTTCTGTATAGTATAGTATAAGTGTAACATATTTCTATGATGTGAATAAAGAATGGGGCCATCAAGACAACTGTTTATCATTTTGAGGATAAATATGCATAATTGATTGAGAATCTTACATCCTTCAGATTCAGGTTCAGTTTAATTTTCAGAAGACTACCCCACTGTGCACCAGGTAAAACACACCAGACATCTTGCCATCCTGTTAATTCCGGTGACAAATTTTCTACAGATATTAAAAGGAAGGGAAAAAAAGACTGCTCAGGATCTTCACATCAATCGTAAATATGTCAATTTGTTTGTCTGACTAGATCCAGGACGTAGGATGACATTAGTCCAGTTCTCAGGTCTCTGCACAGGCTCCAGGCTTCCAAAGTACATACTCTGAGGATCACAGGGACTGGCCTCCTGCTGGTGCTCAGTCAGGACTAAACACGGGACGGTAGAATTTCAGATTTATGCAGCTAAAATCTGGAACAGTCTTCCTGATAATGTGAGACAGTCTTCTACTCTGACCATTTTCAAATCCAGGTTAAAAACAGTTGTTTAGTTGTAGATACAACTGAAGGAACAGGGATTATTTATGAATTAACGCCTTGTATGATTTTATCTTTTCTTGTTTTGTTCAGCACTTGTTCATTTGTTCTACAAATACACTGGCCTTGTATCATCTGTGTTTAAGATGGACCCCTTGACGTGAACCTGCCCAACTATTTGTGTCTAAATATAAATGTATGATATTTGTATTATTCTCTCCACTTAAGTATCAAGTACAAATTTTGGATCTGGAATAAAAAAAAAAGTATATAATTATTTGCTGTTCACAATGTATCATTTGGTTTATTCCCCCCAAAGCATCATGGGAGATGGAGTCTCCTCAATACAGACTCATAAGAAGCATATTATGTGTTTAAAGCCTAAATGCCACTTAATTTGAGAGAACGTGATTAAATAAAAAAATGACATTAAGAAAATAATCTTAATAATACAATCACAGCATTTAAAAAACAAAACTGACCTTTTATTATTTAATCATGGTTGTGATATAATGTCTTATTTCCACATAGTTTCTTCATCATATTTATATATCTTTAGTGATTTTGAACATGGCAGATTGTTGAACCACTGCTGATGAGTGTAAACCTGTCAACATGATCATTTTTTCGCTATTTACAGTCAAGTGAAAGAAATGTACACGACTCCATAGCATTACACGGTTTGGAACAACAAGTACAGATGCACTTAGATCCTCTGTACATAATCTAATATTATGAGTCTACAATTTCATTTTTTTACAGTTATATAGAGTCCTTGATCCTTTGGGCTTCGGCACGTACATGTTTCTTCTTTGCTCTTCCGGCGCACCCTCGCTGACATGACTTCACCACGCTAAAAAGAAAAAAATACTAACATCTATCAATCTAGACAAAACGAGGACGTCCAACTGGAAGTCCCCGATCTAAATCCCTTCTCTACTGAAAAAATAATTTATAAAAACATTCCATAACTTTCTTCTTTGGCACACATCCCATTCTTCCATCTCAAGTCGCACTCCACAACTTCGTACACGTAACACACAACTGATTTTTTTTTTTTCAAAGCCGAGTTCATAAAAATGTCTGTCTTTGAGCTTTCCCGAACATTCCCATCCTTTGTAAATTAGGAGGTCTCTATACCCAGGAGTCTGGCGAGCCCGGGTACTGCTCTGCCCTGTAAGATGGCCGCCGCGTGCTGGCGTAGAAGTCCACGTAGTTTGGTTTGTGCGCGTGCGAGCTGTAGTCTGCGGCGGGCGCGGGGTACGTGATGACGTCGTCCGCGTACACGTCCTCGTAGCCGTGCGGATGCTGCAGGTACATTCTGTAGGTGTCGTAGTTCCTCCTGCTCGGGTCGTCTGCGTAATACACGGGCTGCAAAAGATCAGGAGATTAAACTTCAGAGACATAACAGTAGTACATTTCAGACTCCAGGAATAACTCATCTTCCTTCATTTTAAATAAAATGTATCCCCCTTTTACTCCTTACTTCATAAAATTACAATATGTTGTAGATGGCGACACAACGCGCCCGTGCTAATAAGTGAATTAAAGGTGATGTCACCAACTTAAATTGTATTTCATTTTCAAAATAAATTCTATTCCGACCAAGAGACACCGTCTGATCATGTACAGTAAGTAGGTTTCAACAATATTTATATGAAACAGTCTTACATTAGCATAACTACAGTATGACCAGTAAGATTTGCTGGAGGAGAACAGTTAAACCAATGACGAGGAGCCTCAATAATTCAACTTAATTTTGACCAATCAGGAAGCTGCGGGGATGAGCATGGGCGGGTCTAACCACTGCGCTTGTCTTTTAACAGTTTTTTTTCTCAGTTTGAAAAGTGACTGACATTCAGAGCAATTCATTCAGGTTAGCCATGCTTTTAAGTGAATAAATTCAGTGCGGTTAGCCATGCTTCTAAATTCAACAGCATTCGGCTTAAGTTTTACAGTGTTCTTTCCAGCACATCAGCATGTGAGATGACATGAGAGGTCGTCTATTACTTATTACAGATACAAACAGATATTTTATACTTATTTTAATAATATTTAACTATAAACCATTGATTAATATTTATCAATGGAACAACAGTCAAAATCACTGCATCAAAACATCGATCTCAAAGGTTTGGAAGGAGCGGTAATAGGCCTAAGCATGTGGAGTCAGCATTTCTGATTAAAACAGCCAAAATATGGAACAGTCCTCCTGAAAATGTGAGACAGTCTCTGACATTGTTCAAGTTAAGGGTAACACTGTGGTAGTTGTAGTAGTAGTAGTTATAACTATTCTCACATTTGATTAGTGTGGTCTGACTGAAATTTGTGTAAACCACATTAAGTACTTTTTGATTTTTAAAATAGCTCTGAAAGTGTATGAGACGTAGAGTAAAATCTTACACATACAATTGAATCAATACATTGCAATAACAAAATATTGTGGAAAATTCTGCTCAAGGGAAAAACAAATATGTGCATACAAAAGTGAAACACACATCTAGTTCAAGTCAGTCCAGTTCACATTCCCTTTTTGAAACTCCCTGGATGTCTCGTTGCGTTTGTCCTCCTTCGGGGTGATCCAAGCACTGCCTGGATCTGTGACCGCTTCTGGAGTCTGTCCCTGAGCATCCCAATCCCAGCAGTCACATCCACTCGTGGCCTCACAAAAGCTGACGAGCTGGGTCCCTCCCCGGAATCACCTTTTATCCACAGCGAATACACATCAGCCTCTTCGTATTAGGTCAGAGAGCCGGAAGAGCTGATGGTCCTGGCCAACTAACATTCTGCTGACGGAACTTTTGCCTTATCTTGGTGTTATTTTTCAACAATCCAGTTCCAGACAAATGCACTCATGAATGAACACATATTATGAGTTATTTATATCTATTTAGTTAGGCCCTTGATGATGAGTATATTCTACTTTGAGAATATTTTAGCTCAAGTAGTCACTGAATATTGTTGATCTGCACCAGTGATGGGAATAACGGCGTTACTTTTTTCAGGAACGAGTAATCTAACTAATTACTTTGACAGTAACTATAACGCCGTTATCATTTCCGACATCCCGTTCCTGCGCGTTACTCAAGACGCACAATGAACGTGTTGTTATGAGAGAAGGGAGGATGAGAAAACCTCTCAGCAATTATTGGCTGATGTAAATCATATTTCCTTTACAATCTACATGTCTACAGTTGAGAGGATGGCTCATAAATTGTGTTTTTGAAACAAATATGGGTCTTAATCGCGCTCAACCACGGCTTGTATCACCGTGAGGTCAGCCACAGAGGAGCGCATGTGAGCGCAGAAGTCGGCTGCATACAATTCCATCGATAAGCTCCTTGCTCTTCCTGGTTTATCTGCTAAGGACAGCAACAGGTTTGGCTAACATACATATAACACATTTTTACATAATCTAAAATGCACATAGGGTAATTTTTCAATTACTATAGGAATGATAAGAAAGAGAGGTGAAGTGTAAGACGGTTGATTTTAGAAATTGGATGCAGCCGGCTGCAGCAAAACAGAGGAGTTTACGGAGGACACACGCGTTTTGTTTTACTTTTTAAAACTCATTGGACTCATTTCCAAATGGAGGATTACATATCTACGCTCAAACCATTCACTGGATTTAAACAAGGAACTGGTCTGAACCGAAGTGGATTGTGCAGGTCATTTATAAGGTAAGACCCATAACTCATAGTTTTGCGTTTTGTATGAACAAACAATGCGGGCATAAAACATATTTTGCTGTAGCCAAACAAATTGTCCACTTGATTTATATGATGTATATGTTCATCTGATTTGGACTGAAGTCAGTGCTTCACCAGCCTCACCGCTCGTCACCGGTGTTTCCACATTCACAGTGGCGGGCTTTACAGCACAGACAGAGATGAAGAGTGAACAGGACTTCAGCAGCAAAACAGCCTTTTCTAGATGGAAATATTGGCACTGTTAAAGGTAAAAATGCGCACGTCGGGTGCACATTATGTTCCAGAACAAAACGAAAAAGTAACGCAATAGTTACTTTTACTGGTAACTAGTTACTTTTATAGTGGAGTAACTCCGTTAGTAACTCAGTTACTTTTTGGGAGAAGTAACTAGTAACTATAACTAATTACTTTTTCAAAGTAACGTGCCCAACACTGATCTGCACACAAATCTATATTTGAGTTGTTGAGGATATGTGATATTTCTTTGTATGTTTTATTCGGTATAGGGTTAGGGAAGAGTGGGGTTTTCTCTGTTTTTTATTTTCTATTTTTGTTGATGCCATTTTGTCTGCATTCAAATTGAAAAACAGACAAACAAAAAATGTTGTGCATGTGTCTTTTAACTTTGATACACTAATGTCAAAAGGAACAAGAAAACATCTGCAAGATTGAATCCTCCTGAAATCAAGTCAAAAGGCCTCTAACCTCATTTCTCTGGGTATCTGTGATTGCAGGGTTTGGATTGAAGTAGTAACAATATCACCTCACTGTATGTTAGGACTTTAAACTCATTCATAAACAGTCATGTTGTCAGCCCTTATGTAACACTTAAGTAGAAGGGAGAGGGGATGAGTCTAGTCACAGGCCGTGTCGTGTTAAGTAGTGTCCAGTCACAACAGAGGGCACCATCTGTCCAATCAGAGCTGGTTTGGAGACAGAGGCTCAGACAGGCTTTTCATACTCTCCAATTACAGACATGGCAACATATTTACTTGTGTTCTTCTCGGCTCTTCTCTTGTCGGTGAGGGGTAGTAATACGGTGAAGGCTTCCCAGACCCTTAAACAAAGAAAAACAAGTATACGGCTGAATTGAAAACGGCAAGTATTTACAACAGAAACATTCCCACTGGTCAAAATGCAGTGCGACTTAAAGCTGGGGTACCTAAACTTTGACCACCATATAGAGTACAGAATTTATGTACTGTACAAAAAGTCTTGGAAAAGTAAAATATTGCGAGCAAGTCAGATCTTACAAGGCTGTGTTCATTTGATTAGAAACAATTTTATTTTTGGCAAGCTAGTAAAAAGAAATTGTCACATTTCTGAAAAAGCTGGTACAAAAAAAAAAGTGAAAAACTGTGATAGAACCAAACCGTTCTGAGAGCGAAGAACTAGTTTAATAGATGTTCCTTAATAGTTCATCGTGTGTGGTTTTGGTATCCCAACTTTATCCAAAGACATATCTTCGGAGGCATCTCGTTTGTTTCTAGAACCCTAAAGCACCAGGACACTGATTGTTTTGCCACAATGCATTAAGAAAACTGATAATGATGATGAGTTTCTTCTGACAATAAATAAAATACTACTTTTTTGCTCACATAAGAACTGGCCCAACTTTCTAGGGAGCTGTCAGGTCTGTGAGATAGTGGCAAGAGGGAGTGAGGTTATAGAATCTGCTGCTAGCGTTTAGAGGATAAAAGCGATAAAGCCCAGAGCAGAAGAGGCAGAAGACTGTCTGAGATTACAGCCAGGGAGAAAGAGGCATGATCTGAATACCATTAAAAATATAAAGGATAGACAAGTCAATCTAGTTTTTCAGATAATAAGTATTACTTAAAAATATAGACCTAATGATTGATAAAAGAGGCATGGTTCACTCTTGCATTTAGAAAGTTTCAGTAAACTTCAATCATGCCAGAATTACCAGGACAAGCCAAGTGGTGTAAAAAGGGCATTGTCTAAAGAATATTATTGTCTGTGAACATTGTCCTAAGTATCAAATATTACGATCTTCAATGCTAATGGATGTGTGATGGCTAATGATTGTCTAAACAATAAGAATAATAAAAAAAATATATATATTTTTTGCATGTTGCTCAAACATGTTCCAATGCAATGCGGAGTAGAAATATATTAGATAAATGTTCATATTCAATTACACATAGCACCTGTTTGTGTAAGTGCATACCTGTGTACTGGCTCTTATGAACACTGTTGTCGCCTTGGTTACTATAAAATTGCATAGTAGACTGCGCCCTCTGGTGGTCCCTTCTCTCTTTGATGCCCAACATGGCAGGAGACGATGTGGCGCTGGCAGCTGGGAGAGAGAAGAAAACAGATTCCTGAGGTTTACATCGACTTTCACTTTTTTATTTTGATCTGGAGCAGTCTGTAACTACGCGGACTTACCCGGGTGGTTGACGGGGGAGATCTGGATTGTGTTGGTGGTGGGGAGCGCAGGCTGGGACTTGAACCGGTCCCTTTCCAGTGTGGAGACTGGAGTGAGGAAGTGGTTCTGCGTCCAGCCGTCCTGCATGAACACAAGAGGCATTGGCTTTAAGTACAGAAGGAAAGAGAAGGATAAAGCCTTTGGTTGAAGATTTTAATGTAACTAAGTTTGAAAAAGTATTCACCCCCCCAGAACCAATTACAGTCTTTTGGAGTACATTTACCAGTCAATCTCAAGACTTTTCCCAGAACAGAACAGCTCAAAATCTGTCATTTTAAACGGAGAGAGTTTGTAAACAGCTTTGTTAGGTTTCTGGATTGGAGTGTTTGTTTATTTATAAATATTTTATTTGAAACCAGGCCATTTTATGAAAGGGTTTATGTTTAGGGAACAGAGTAGAAAGCCACTTAACCTACCTTCTTGTAGATGGTCCGTAGATCCCGATACTGCCACAATGTATTGAGGACCTGAGCTGCCGCTTTAACCACCTTCACAGAAGACCTAACAGAAAATATTGAGATTTCCATTATTGCTCTATCCAATAACAGAAATGATGTGATAATTCTAATGAATATAGGATTTTAAAGAGCTACTTGATTTACAGGCCAACTTTGAGAGTATGGCACTTGTTTGAAATACATGTGATTTCAATTATGAGTCAAATTATCTTGAGTGTGCTATCTTAGCTACAATTATCTAGTTCCACAACCACCTAACAAGAGCCCAAAAAACAAACCAAGATAACCATGTTAAGTGGATGACAGGAAGATGAAAAACGATGCACTGTTCCAAATGCATTTCAACCTGGAACACGACTTAATATAGAGCTGAGTAAAAATAGCTGCAGACCGTCCTCTCCCAGTGGGAGGGAAAACTGCCCGGCACATAACAGCATCATTCCTGTGGCCCGTCCTTTCCGTGTCCCCCCCTCACCTGTCCCCTCGGCCTTTGGTGATGTTGACCAGCTTCTCAATGCCCCCCGTGTCGGCCAGGGCTTTGGCGTTCTCCATGTTTTTACTGGTGACCTCGTGCAGAGTGCAGCAGATGGCTGCGACCGTCTCATCTGAAAGCAGTGTGGTGTTCCCCCCGGGAAGCCGGTTTACCAAGTCCCTCATGGCGTATTTACCTACGCAGAAAGGAATTCATTCATTGAAATGGGTGATGGTGCAGTTAAGTCATTTTGTTTACATTCATTATAAAACATGGGATTTATATAATTTATTGTGCTTAGAGATTCAAAACAGATATTAAATGTAAAGTAAGTGAGTCTTTATTTATATAGCTCCTTTCACAAAGCGCTTTAAAATTGTGTTCGAGATTATTTTAAATATAAATCTAAAAAAATCTTAAATGCATCTAACAAAGTAAATGTAGCCTCTGTAACGTAATATAAAGTGAAAGATTGGAATCTGATATTCACTTAATAAAACAATGTAGATCCCACATGCAGCTGCTTTCCTAACATTACGGTTACTAATATTCACCAATGAGTTCCTTGTTCCTAACGTCCAGCGCCATGTTTCTGAGCGCCGTGGCAACCGAGCACACCACACGGTCGTTATCCATCCGCAACAGCTCCACCAGAATGGGCAGTCCTTTTTCCTTCCGCACTGCAGCTCGGATGTACGCCGCAAACTGCAAATAAACAAGAAACCGACATGGGGATATAGAAGGACTTCAGTTACTGTCTGGAAGTGATTTGGTGGACTACAAGAGAAATGAGATAGTGTACCTTCCAGTTGCCCGCTGATAGGTTTTGAAGAGACCCAGCCGCTCCTTCTAAAGTGGCAGGATTTGAGCTCTCGGCCAGTAACGTGAGGTAAGGCTTAACCACAGCCGGGTGCCACAACATCTCTGCACCCTTGGGAGATTTAGAGAAGCCGGGAATAGGCCCTACACCGTCCCACTGAGCAAGAAAAATAACATATTGTTAAACTGCAATTCTGTATGCATTAGATATTTGGCAAGGCAAGGCAGAGCAAGGCAAGGCAAGTGTATTTGTATAGCACAATTCATACACACGGCCAGTCAAAGAACTTAAACAAATCAAGTTAGCATTAATAATCCCAGTACATTAAAAAGAAAGATAATGATATAAAATCCCTCACTCAGCTAAACAGACCTGTTTTTAACCTATTTGGACTATTAGTTTTAACTACTATGGATATTTCATGACACTTTTGAAGCAATTTTGGTTAAACTTAAGCTTGTCACTCTAACAATGCACAAGGCAGTGATATTTTGGTTAGCGTGGAAGCTGCTGATTGGACTGTCTTTGAGTCCTCCATGATATAATATCACATGCACCAAGTTGTCTGTGACTCAACCTCAGACTCCCGTGTCATTTTCTTCACTACTAACAAAAACAATGCTATTTCTAAAGCTGGGGTACCCAACTTTCAAATCTTGCAATATCGAACAACGTAACAAAATCCATGTAAATAGTTCTTTTGAGTCTCTCAATCATTTTCACATGCATGTATGTTTTACCTATGTTCAGCTTTTTCAGACAAAAATGTGAAAATGAGAGGACCAACTTCACCATTTACAGTTTTCTACAAAGATTAAGACAGCGTGTAATGGTAGGATTTGTTCACAATGTTGGACTTTTACAACTCTTTCTGTAAGACAAACAACATGTGCTATTAATGAAACAAAGGAGATATGTTTAAAGCTGGGGTACCTAAGTCACTTAACATGTTTTTTTAATGTGTCATCTACAACATTTCTTGTACAAACTCACCGTGTCTTCTTGGGGGTTCTTTTTCTTTTTCTTCTTGCGTCCCCAGCAGCTGGAGTCCTCCTCTTTGTTGGCGGACTCACTGCCCAACAGCCCGTCCACCTCGTTGCCCCCCATCATTCGCGATGGGGGAATCTCCAGCTCCAGGCGATACGACAGGTTCCTCAAAGTGCAGATGCAGTTCTCCACGATCTGAAGAGTTTTTGTGTCTAGTTATCATCCTCATTCAAACAAAAGGATAAAGCGTATGGGCTAATCTTTAAATATATACAAAATATATATACAAAAGTTTATTTTATGTAAATTACCATTTGTTTTTTCCAACATGTAAATGTACCGGAGATGGCCATGTTTGAGAAACTCTAACCTAACCCATTAAAACTTGTTTTCTGTTTAGGGAGTAGAGCAAACTAAAATGTTGATTTCAACATGGCCTTATAGTGACATTATATCAAAGTATTTTTTAAAATCAGACAACCAAGTGATCATGTCAAAGATGTTATTCATGTTTGCTTTGTTTTGGTAAAAATTTATAAAATATCTCATATTCACTGGCCTTTCCTGATCCAAACAACAACTGATCGAATAATCAAAATCTGTGTATATTTTCCCTTTTAGCCAATATACAGTAATCCAAATAGTTTTTATTTAGCCACAGTTTTCTTTTTTATTACTCTATGAATTTACTGTTATTTTATTATGTAATGCCAACTTCTTTTCTCTGTCTAGAAGGGCTCCGTTGTACAAAAGCTTTCAAAGGTCATCCAGCCAAATATAGCTTTCAGATCCTATTTTGAGACCTGTCAAAAAAGACTATTTATTTTTGTGGCTTCACTTGACACGAGAACAAGGCAAATGTCCAAACGATGCGCCGTCACAGAGGGAGGTCCTTGACTAACTGTGACAAAGGCTTCAATACACAAATCACTACTGTATCCATGGCCTTTCCAAGCATTACCAATCAATTAGTCACATCACCTAAAGGCCGCTTGGTGAGAAAGACCAAGTTGGAGCCAGACTAATGGATGGAGCTCCATGCTGTTCGAGTGCCTCAGCCAGCAGAATGTCAATGAGCATATATGTCTGACTGAGGAGAGGCCGCTCTCCCGTAGGATTACAAATAAACCACTTGACTCTTGAAGTACTTTTGCACCACATAAAAGTACATCTGGGAGAGTGATTGAATTTGCTGCACGCGAGCTTGCACATAAACTGTCAGTAGTTGTAGATAAGGCGCACTCTGATCATGATATTTTAATTGGATGTGCTTAGGGCAGTGGAGCGTGTAGTAGTTTTCCGCTAGCTTCAGCGAGCATGATTTAAACAGGAAGACATCTTTGAACAGGGGAAAGATTTCCCCTTGTGCTTCTTATCTTATGGCAACATGTTTTCCTTCTAGTGTGCAGTCAATAATGTTACAAGCCAGAAATGGTGGACAAGATTTGATGCCTGAAATCACATGTATGTGTACAGTATTAGAATTGTTGATCATTATTATAATTCCTTTGTTCATCTGTTTATCTAATTTGGATTTCCTCTAGAGTTGAATCACTTATTTTACAATGGGAAAATGTGAAGGCCCATGTGAAATAGATTGGCAGTCTTGCTTCCGTCAGTCTACCCCAAGGCAGCTGTAGCTATTATCACCACTGTGTACGGAGTGACTGAATGATGCTGTGAAGTGTCTTTGAGTGTCCAAATATGCGCTATATGAGCTCAATGCATTATTGTTGTATTTCAATAGCAATGTTTTCTTACAAACTATGGAATAGGAAAGCTAGTGACAACGAATAACCCAAATAAAATGACAGAAAAATGTTATAGTTTTTCTGTAACATCTTACAAATGAATACATTAATAATTAAACATTAAACAGACTTCCAGACTACATATAGAGTTTGTGGAGATGTAAGTAAGTAAAGAAAATATATTAGTGTATTTCTTGGTTAAAATAGTTTCCGGCTAGTCTTATGATACACAATATTTTGCTGAATGCACATCCGCTTGGAATGAAACGTTACATAGTATAGTGGAATGGCCTGTATCCATAGAATTCCTATGTAAAGGTCCAGGGCAGTATCAAACAAACCTGAATGGAGACAAAAAGATGGCATACCCACCAACATAAATCAAACTGCCCTTTTTCCACACACAAAACTATCCTATGCACTGATTATGTCTCAAACATACAGAAATCCAGTTAGATCACTACAAGTAAACTTTGCTAGTAAACAAAGCAGTGACTGGGCGTCTGCACTGTACCTTGCTGTCAAAGTCCGACGTGTTGACACAGGCTTTGATGACGTAGAGTAACGAGTCCACCAGCCCTTCACAAGTGCGCATCTGTTTTCTGGCCTCCTCTCCAGCCGAACTCAGGTTCCTGTCAAAACAACCACACCGACCTTTGATTTGGGGCTCAACTCTGCAAACAAATAGGTAATAACGACAGCTGCTTGTGACGTAGGGAGTGCAAACCCTCTCTGAAGGGCTGGTTTAAAAAGTCTGACATGTGGGTGGGCTGGACTCATTACAGCGTGTAAGTAAATAACAACATGTCTACTGAAAACAAACGCGAGACAGATTTGTATGTATGCACAGTCGTATTTCAACCCACTGTCTCCAATTAAAGTGCTGTGTTCTACATCCAGCAGAAGGCTTCAAAGGAACAAAAGAGAAAAGTGAGACATGTTACATTACCACTTACTGGACTGCCCACTACAGATTAGGGTCAAATGTGTTCGTCCAAGATTTATGCAATATTGGATAAGCTCATAAAACAGTGAGTTATTTATGATCATAGTCTTCATCATGAGTCATAAATGAGTATAAAGAGTATGTCATTTCAGTAGTTGTCCACATAGAGGTGCTAGTGTAATGTCGATCGAGCCTAGTTTGTAACCACCAAGGTTATTTCACTAACGAAATTATACAACATTAAACTTAATAAATAATAATAACGGCACTGAGGAGGGGTCTATTCAAAAGGGGGTTGTAATTTTTGCAAAAACTACTTCTAAGAGCTTTTACCATCTTAAGGTGATGGATGATGTGACGACGATACAGATCTTGTAGCCTAAAGGAAGCGAACATACAACCTGAGGCTCCATTATGGCCATTTGAAAACTAAGTTAATAGAAGTAAACAGAGGTAGGAAATAAAATAAATTTGATTCTGGAGTAAATGTAGTCTGATATAGATTCCCATGAGAAACTGTTGCACACTATATCACTGAACTGTATAGGTTTGGCAGGTCATCTTTGTGGGGGATCGGCTGTGTGTGCCATGATCAACACTCCCCACATGTGGCGCGACATCTCCAGTTCATTAAGCCGCACTATAGGACGCCTGCGTACCTCAGACAGCCTGTGGTGTTCCTCAGCACCAGCGAGGAGTGGAACTTGAGCTTGTGGTCATCGTCGAAGGTGCTGCTGCTCCAGCCTGAGTGTGGGATGATCACAGTGTTGGTCAGCGGGTTTAAGGCGTCTCGGATGATTGTCATTTTGACAGCGTCGCACGAGGACAGGTTCCACAGCACCCCTGCACACACACAGACAACAGTGTGACCTGCGGTAGACAAAGACACGCAGAGCTAAAGTTTGGCCAGCTGTCAGGCAGAGTTATGGTCCTCTCTGTGACCGGCAACACTGGCTTTTAATAGAGTAGAATGTGTGGACAGGTCTGCAAACATGAACTAAGTAGGCAGTTGTTTACCATCACCTTAGTTTGAAGCAAGAAATAAACCCTTTAAAAACGACAAAATAAAAAATTGTGTGAAGAGACAGGGGAAAGATTGTACATGAATCTCACGTTAAGACAAGCACTGAAAACCTTTTAAAAGGTGGACTAGACAAAAACTCTAGAAATAATTATACATGTTTGCCATACATTTCTATTGGTTCTGACCCAAACTGCACTTACAAGAACACAGATGGAGTTCATGAAACAACAACGAATAATGCAAAAAAGAACAAACACCAATTTACTTCCAACATTCCAATTAATTTTTATTTTCCTTTCTGCTTTTGTCAAATGATTGCAGCTATAACCTCGCCCACTCAACAGCAAGAACCTTTCTCACACTAATCAATACCCACCTCCCAAGTTATTTTTTTTATGTTCAAGTAAACCAATTATAGCAATTTGAACTGAGCTATTTTTCCAGTTTACTTTCTTGACATATCTCTGTGAAATCCTCCAGCTCCAGTAGTCCTGACCAAGCTGAGCATCAACATCTGGAGATGGGTCCCTAGGCTCTAACCACTGTTCCTGACAGGTTGCCATAGAGGCAGCGAAGAGGATAGATTTCCCTATGGGACAACAAAGTGTATTTTAGTCTTAACCATTTCCTCAACAAAGAACATAAAATGGCCCATTTGAATAGATAACACATACAGTATACTGACTGAAACTTTCTCGAAAAAATAAAGTGAAAAGTAAATGTATGCGGCATCTGACATTCACATCAGATTTCTCCTGCGGGTGGACAAAAAAAAAATGTCAGAATAAAGATTTTATCTGACATGAGCTCAAACAAGTGAAATCCAACACCAATAATATGAGTCTTCCAAAATAATACCATCATGTCGCCTAATTCAAACACACTTGATTACTATGCACGGAGCGGGCGGTCTTTGATGTGGCGTCTGTCAGGGATTATCCTCCATGTAGCATATTCGTTTAATGAGATGCTCCGCTGCAGGCTTATGCTCAGGCACATGCAGCTCCTGCAGGGCTACGCTAACCTAGAGACAAACAATGAGGGCACCCAAGGCTAAAAGGACAATTGTGAAATAATTGCCGTCTAATATGAGATGACTGCACTGAAATGTAGATTTTTCTCACAAGATGTCACAATATCAATAATCCCTCAGTTAATTCACTCTTTCAGTCACACTCACTCAAAATTCCTTTACATATATACTCACAAATACAGGGTAGGAAATACAGATACAAATGCACCACCAATCACGTTAAATTAAGCAAATGAGATGTTTGCATCAGTACATCCAATTGGAAAAACGGGATTAAAATGAAAATGCAACACATGTACAAGCATTGCTGCCCCAGAGGATGTGTTGGGAAAACCTCAGTTTGAAGTAAGGACCCTCTTTCTTGTTGCATCAAATGGTGAAATAATGAAATATCTAATGTAGACAAACCATCAGAATTCCCAACAATCTTTAGGTTACATAAATCTGCTAAGAATAGCTTGAATAGATGAACAGATTTCAGAGTTCATGTTTCCACACCTCTCAGTCCTTCAGCAGTAGGAAACATTCAAATTAAATGCTAATGCTGAAACTGTGTTCTGCCAGAGCACATTAAAAGTCACTCTTTGACTTTCTTGTGGGTCAAAATCATTTCTCTTGCTGCAGGATTTATATTCCACTGAAAAACGGGAGATGGGAAATAACAGGTGAGATATATGCCAGAAAGAAAAAAAAATGTTCATGTTCAAGATTTTGATAAGGTCAACCCTCAGATGGATGGGCCAATCGTATTTTTCTATGAAATCTCCAGAAAATCCCCCACAAATGTCAAAGCATATTACATTCTATGCAAGGAATTGGATCCAGAAATTCACGGAAAGTGTGGAAGAACCATATTTCCATTTAAACGGACAGCACTTGGCCCTCATCCAAGCCAAGGAAAATCAAACTTAAGGAAGAGCATATTTTTTTAACTTTTACTTTTGAAGGTATAAAAGCATCCAAAGAGAAAATATATATGTACATTTTGTCTATAGATTAATTACATCGTCACAATTGGTTTTGTACAACCAGAAAAGTATTGTGACATCATCAGAAATGTCTAAACTGTTGAAATAGATAGACAGCAGAATAAACGCTTTACAATAATCATATAAAATGGAACCTTCCCTGCAGACCATATACATACAACACAGGAGAGGTTCTTCCGTGCTTCAGAGATCAACAGGCAAGTCTACCCAGCTGAGACTGACAAGCTGTCAGCAGAGCAGCCTGGCAGCACTACTCGTGATTCATATGACCGTGCGTGTAAGCAGCCTTTCAAATGGCTCTGTTCCTTGTTCCCACAGTCCCGTGGCCGAAGAAACACTGACCTTCAGGTAAATAATAGTGTTGTGACAATATGTCAGAGTAAGGCAGACGAGTTTAACGACAGGTGAAAATATATGTGTCTGTCAATGCCTCCCAGTGACAAATGGAGCTGGGAAAAAAGATGGATTGTTTGTTTCCCATCAAGTAATCGATGGGTAAAGATCATAACCCACTGCGGAGTAATTGACCCATCAGGAAGAATTGAGTCTGTGGACATGACATTAGCATGTGCTCATCAATACCAACGGAACATCTCAATAATGTGGGCAGGTTCTAGCTGAGGTCACCAAGCAAATTCAAGGGGGGAAAAGAACATCCTCATTGAGCTTTTTATGTAAACAAAAGAATATATAATGTTTAGATACATACAGGTACATTCAACGAAACCCTTTTTTGTGAACTGCTGTATGGCAATAGAATTCATGGAAAGGTAAAGGAATCCCACTCCCAACAAGTCAGAAATGCAGTAAAAAATTACATCATTCATTCTAGGGCTGGGCGATATGGCAAAAAAAAAAAATCTCCAATTTTTTCACACCAAATCCGATTTTCGATTTTAATCGATTTATTTTTTTCTATTTAAAAACAAACTACAACTGACAAAGAAATAGATTTTCCTTTATGCAGTTTAATCTAGACTTTAAAACAGCTTTGCTTGTGTACAAGTCTCTCCATGGCCTCGCACCAAAATATATTAGTGACATGTTAGTCCCATATGAACCAGCCCGGACTCTGAGGAGCACAGGGACTGGACTCCTGTTAGTGCCCAGAGTCAGAACTAAACATGGGGAGGCTGCTTTTCAGATTCATGCTGCTAAAATCTGGAACATTCTTCCTGAAGATGTGAGACAGGCCTCCTCTCTGACAATGTTTAAAACCAAGTTAAAAAACTGTGCTGTTTAGCTGTGCATACAACTGAGGGATTTTATATTTTTATCTTTCTTTTTAATGTTCTGTGATTATTTATGATTTTAATGCTATCTTGTTCAGCACTTTGAGTTGCCTTGTGTATGAATTGTGCTATACAAATAAACTTGCCTTGCCTTGCCTTGCCTAAATCCCCATGGAGCATAAGTGTAACAGGAATTAAGCCTTAAAACATGCTTGTAAACGAGATGGCTCTGCCATTGTAAACAGTGAAAATGTAGCTTAACAGTTTTATAATAACTTCACTTACAATGACACTATGCACCTTCAAAATAACTTAAATCACACAAACAAGGCCCATCGCAAATATATCAATCCTATTAAACACATGCATTATTTACATGAAATATCACATTTTTAAAACTGATTACTCAAAATAGAAATGCTGTAACAGACAGTCTTTTCCAAAAGCTTCCTCGGGTTTTCATGCTTGTTCTTTCAACTGTGCCTGAGTAACTGTGCTGTAGTACAACGCTCGGTCCAGCTGGTGGCGCTAATACTAACTTCAGTGACTCCCGCATTGTGCGAGCTTCCTGTTTACATTCTGATGCTGTAGCTAAAAGCTACTGTAGCAGCTACTGTAGCTAACAGCTACTGTAACAGCTACAGTAGCAGCTACTGTAGCTAGCAGCTACTGTAGTAGCTACTGTAGCTAACAGACAGCGGGGAACACGTTGTTTGTATCAGAGCAATGAGAGCAATGTGTGAGACGTGTCTTTCCCCAAAGTGCAGCGGCTCAGTGGGACACGAGTGTGTGCGTGCCACGGACACGGGAGTGCGCTTTGGAATAACGAGCGTGAGAGAGCGTGAAAGATGTGGCGTACGAACATGGCGTACGAACATAGCGACCGGAGCTTGCGTGCGTGTGTGTGTGTGTTTTGGCGATTTAAATAAAGTCTGATTCTTGAACGTTTGAAGTGTTATTGCAACAGCACCAACTGTGAGAGCGAGCATCAGGCCAGAGGGAGACTGTTAGCATTAGGTTAGCTTCAAAATGACTGCTCAACACCATAGACCCGCGGTTAGCGCTGTAGTTCTGCGCTGGAGAAAATAAAAATCGAATTTTTAAAAAAAGAAATTGCCCTAAACGTAAAACTCGAATTAATGATTAAAATCGATTAATCGCCCAGCCCTAATTCATTCATTAGTTTGTACCGATTATTCTTTCGATTATTTGATTGGTTGTTTAGGTCAGGGGTGCCCAAACCTTTTGCTTCCAAGGGCCAAAGTAAAAATTTGCCAGTCGGCCGGGGGCCAAATACACTGATATTTCGCATGAAACACAAATAAAATGTAGATTTGATCAAGTTCTATTAAATGCATTAATTATTGTCTATCAGTGCAAATCACAGCTGAATGAATGAAATCAACACAGTCTTAGTGATGTGGAGACTCCAGGGAAATATGCAGGTTTGAGGAGACTACAGTACGGAAAGATTCCGGCCGGGTAATCAGGGTCCAGAGGAGGGAGATTTTCTGTCATGGCTTATTTACAGCTTAAAATCATATAAAAAACCTCTAAAAGAGAAC